TGGTGCTCAATTCAAACTGAAACAATGGATGCTCTCATTGTTCTGTTACATCTGAGCATTTTCTATCCATCAGTATGTTTCCTATTAACTTGACTAATGTGGTCTTGAATTCCACTCATTGGTTGAGGGCACTTATCCCACTTTATCTGTTTTTGGATTTGCAATGGAAGTGGCTCATAAATAAAAATTAGCATAAGAATGATACTTTGCTTCCAGCTGGATCAATACCAAATACTCTTCAGGCCCTTCATCCTCCCAGAAATCTCCCATTCCTTCTTTTGCTTCTTTTTGAAACTACTTAGGTCACTATGGTCCTCTATCCTCATTTCCAACTTAATTTTCGTTGATCCTGTTTCCGTTGTTTATATCCTCAGTGCCCATTATTTTATTGCTTTTCTCTTCCTAGAATTAATAGTCACTCCTCCCGTTTCTTATATTACATTTAAAGAGGTAAGCTACCTGGCACTTATGATTTTGATTAGATTCACATATAAGTTTCCAGGTGCACTACCATTTCCTCCAGAAACATGGATACGTAAGTTTAGAATGCCAGCGTGTATTTTAAGTTCTTAAGTGCTTGTCCTTGGATTCTACTTAGAGAATGCTTTTCTTCCATGATTGTATATATCTGCCTTTGTGTTTTGTGGCTGAATACAATACACTGTTCCATGAGTTGATCTCTTAAGGCTCATGACCATGATTTGATTGGCCTGACCTGCTGAAATTCCTACACAAAACATTCTAGGTCTTCTTTAGTTGTTCCATAGAAGATTTATGGCTATATCTTGACATTCCCATCATTGCGCAAAGTCTACACACAAGCTGTGCAATCATCAAGGCCTAGTGAGTAGATTTAATCTCAGAAACTGAACTAGAAGTTCACTATGACATTCTTCGATCATGTTCAGCGCACTTTAATTGACCAATCCTCTTATCTGAGAAGTTCTCTATATTGTTACAACTTTCCTTAATCATGCATATTTTTTAATAGGCTAACTACTCTAGACTGTGTCCTCTAGTCAGACATGGCTGGTCAGGTGGTTAGGGCGATGAACTCGCAATCTGAGGGTCGCGGGTTCGAATCCCCGTCCCACCAAATATGCTCGCCCTTTCAGCCGTGGGGGCCATTATATGGTTACGGTCAATCCCCCTATTCGTTGGTAAAAGATGACTAGCTGACTTCCATCTAGTCTTTCACTGCTAAATTAGGGACGGCTAGCGCAGATAGCCCTCGTGTAGTTTTGCGCGAAACACAAACCAAACTGTATACTCTAGTTTTAATGTAGCCTTCCTTTCTTTTAGCAGTCAAATTAATTTGCAGAAAATGTATGCATATGTGGTGTTAGGAGAAAACGAAAAAAGTTCAGGTTCAGTAAATCTAATGATAACTGAAATCTATTAATAACATCAAAGTAATTAAAGTAAAATGAAAATCAAAAAATTGAAAACAATAAAATAGAAAGTTCAAACACACAACCATAAATAACGAAAATAGCAAATCACACAAACTGATTCAGAGGGCAAACCCTTTTGTTAAAATTCAGTTTAGTTATGATAAAAAAAAACATTCTTATAGTTGAAAAAAAAAACCCGACGAAGTCTGTACTCTGTCCTGACAGCTTTCAGGATTAGATCTTCCATCCATAGATGAATGTCCATGTGCACATTCTATTTCAATTCAACCTTCTTCACTGGCCAAGAAATTAACACATAAACAGTAAACCTAGCTCATTCCTATAAGCAAAGAGCCCCCCAAAAGTTACAATTAGAGCACTCTAATTAAGTGAGGAACACAAAGTCTATTTTACAAACAAGGGATGAATTATTTCAGGAACAAGAGCAAAAGTATATGTATACGCCCTTAAAATAGTTATCCTGTACCAATAATCCTGCTTTTGCCATGTATTGTGGTCACATAAAAAGTAACTTTAGCAGAAGCTTAATAACAACAATATTTAATGATTGTTTTACATTAAACAGTATTAATTTATTCTTACTTCATCAGTATGAAGTAGATGTAATACAAGTCAATGAGACTGAAACAGATCATTTCGAGTATCCCTGGGAGATTTCATGCCTACCTTAGCAACGTCCTACATGTGCAATATTAAATAACTTCAACAGCAAAGATGAGGATCCCAACTAATAATGTGTGTAATGTATTCTAATCAGTAAAGGTTTTAGTCTGCTTATATAATGACGTATAATATAAAGTATTCCCAGACATATTATTAAATAGGATTGTGTTAATAGCTGTACACGTTATTTTTAAACCACTTCTTCTTTATTGTATATATATAAATAGCTTATTTTTAATAAAAAGTTTTTAATACTATATATAAATACATTTGTTTAAAATATGTTAAAACAAAATGACTGCATAAAAGAAAAGAAAGCTAAATGAATGTTATTACGATGATCTTGTGGCGGCGCCTATAACTTAACATTTGGTGTATCACGAAACCAATAACATAACAGTAATAATACTAATTATGATACACAAAGCTACAAACAGCGGTTACGTATCATATATATATACAGACTGTAAGAAAAGGTAAAAAGAAATAGTAGGCACACGAGTAAAATCAGACAAACGCTTGTCACTGACCCCCGAATTTGAACATTGTAAGTTCATAAACTTACCACTGACTCACCAGGGAACTTTTAAATTTGATGAAGTAATAAATTTAAAACAAGTGTGATCAATAAACAATAACTAAGGTTTTCATAGTTTAATCAAAACTAATTAATACTAGTTTGTATCCAAGTAACCACATTTATGCTCACCTGAATATCTGTAATTTCATCGTTTGTTTTTTGTGCTTTAACTTAAGCTAAAGATGTGGTTCATACTATTATTTTCCTAATTATTAATAACATTGCCTACGGGACACAGTTAAAGATTTTTTCCCCATCTGTAAATTCTCCTTTAAAGGATCATATTTCTCTAGCAGCAAAGCTAACCAGAAGTATTTAATTTTTCATTTTGTTCCTTGTATTTTATTAATCCTTAAGATCCTGTAAGTAAACAAAATACTTTTAACTAAGAAAAAAAAAAGGATTTCAGGGTTTCTAAGCCCAAAACAATGGCAACCATGTAGTGGTTTTCTTGAACCATAGTTACAGAAGTTCGAAGTAACTACATGGTAAGTAAAATACACCACTATTCTGTTTCCCTTTTAGATCATAAAGATAAACATTTAACGTTTACCAAAATTTTCAAACATCGCACTTTAGTTCATCCAGCCCATCTGTTGGTAGTATAGCGCGCAGATAATCGATTTTTCAAGAAAGTTAGCTTATTTTTACGCCATGACTACACACTCCCAAAGTTCATTCCCATTTTGGTATTTCTGGACTTCAAAGTGCCGCTGTAAATTTCTTTAGACCTATACTAATATTTTTCTAGTAGCATCGTGTGTGTAAAGATTGAGAAGCACTTGAGAATTCTGTTTTCTCTATTTTTGCTTATGGGATGATTAAGTAACCTTGAGTGTTTGTTTGTTTGTTTGTTTTGAATTTCGCGCAAAGCTACACGAGGGCTATCTGCGCTAGCCGTCCCTAATTTAGCAGTGTAAGACTAGAGGGAAGGCAGCTAGTCATCATCACCCACCGCCAACACTTGGGCTACTTTTTTACCAACGAATAGTGGGATTGAGCGTAACATTATAACGCCCCCACAGCTGAAAGGGCGAGCATGTTTAGTGTGACGGGGATTCGAACCCGCAACCTTCAGATTGCGAGTCGAGTGCCCTAACCACCTGGCCATGCCGGGCCTAACGTGAGTGAGGACTGCACTTTGAGCGATTTGACAAGCTTATAGTTGGCAATAAAAGTATATTTTCTTTTGGCATAGATCTTTTGATTATTAAGAGAAAGAAACGAGATTGTCTCTCGTCCATTGCCTTTTTTAAACTCACTGAATTGAGTTGAATTGAATGTATTGTGTGTTTGACAAGAATAACTAAATAGTCGTGCTTTTCTGTGAAACTTCTGTTTTTATTTTTAATTCAGACAATTCAGATTTAATGTCATAATACATTTTCTTCAGAAGTTGTTAGAGTAGTTACAGTTCTTACATTTAAGAAATCAGCGAAGCTCATAATACCATAACTATCAAGTGAGTGATAAAAATATATAATGTGACTCTATGTACACATACTTTTAAATACGATAGAGGTAAGTTTTACATGCCCTCTTCATAAAAATGTTACAGAATGGTGTTCAGATTTATGGTAACAACAGAAGGATAAGTGCCTTTTTTTTCACCACCAGTGTTGTTTTGCATGATGACCCTTGTTATCGACTATACTGTACAGTGTAATTTCCAAAGCAAGAGGTCAATATTGTCCCTCCTCTCTTTACATGTTTTCCAAAGTCCATCAACTGTGTATGGACAACAAATCCTGGGATCCATTTTCAGGAACACAAGAGCGAATAATCCATGGAACATGCAACTAGTGAGTTAACTGGTTTGCCTACCAATGATATAGCATGTATTCCCATTTAAATTATGTTGCAGTCATTCAATCATTCGTCCATTGTGATGACATACTTCTATTTGTCACATACCAGATACCATTCGTACAGCTTTCAACAGATGGTTTTTCATTCAGCTTTGTGACTTAGAGGTAGCTTGAGAAAATAGCCCTTGTGTTGCATCCATTAACTTAAATTCAAAGGAGGTTTTCCTTTGTTTGCATTGGATTAGTATGCGATTGTTTGTTGGTCTGTTTTTCCCTGATAGAATCATGCCGTACATTGTTTTACCAATATAGTTCAATAACAGAAATGTCCTTTTCTTCAAAATGCTAAACTTTCGTGTGTGGCATGTTTTTATAATTGCTGACTAAATTAGTTTGTATTGTAAAGTCTGGTGATATAACCGTTCCAGAAAAGTTCAATCTTAGACGCCATCTTCACTTACACAGCACCATATTTCAATTTCATTACAAACAGAGGATCAGGGCTTTTAATTTGTGTAGTCACAGGCCGTAGGAATGGCCAAGGGATTCGGTGGCTGGATATATAAGTTGTTATCACAGGCCATTAACAACCTCCGTAATTCGCGAAAAAATAATCTACCCAAAGATTAAAGAAAAAATAACAGTTAAAAATAAAACAAATCCTTTTGATCATTTCTACAAGCCAGGCCGACAAATAAGCGAGGAAAATTTGAAATATTGTACTAACCTGAATTAGGGATTAAGGCTAGGCAAATGTGAAATGATTTAAACGACTGCTACGATGTGTGTATCTTCAAGTACAGTTATCAATTAGCATATGACCGATTTGAAGTAGATGTTTTTCTTGTAATGACTGGACATAAGTTAAAGCATGCTAAGCTTATACGTATTCGAATTATGTAACATTGGTGATCGAAATTTTGATAATTTTTACTTTTCACAAAGCTGAAGTATCTAACTGCATATATCAAGTTAACACTGACAGATAGATCTGTAATTGAAGCTTTAATTTTCTGACTTATGCATTAAACATATAATGATTATGTCAGGTTTTAATCATCTAATTTACAAAAGAAACCTTCCTATTGTTCAACTGTTTATGTATACAACCCCTTATTGTTATTTAGGTTTAAATGATTTTGAAGAAAAGAGGGAGGAAATAATTACATCACTGGATGACGTTCTGGACGCTTTACTGGCTATTCCTTCTGGTTCTCGATCATCTAGCCCTGTGACTTCACGTCGTACTAGCCCTGTTGCTCCTCAGATGATCAGTTCAGCCCAGGTAGATCGAGAAGAACAACCCCCATTCTTTAGTGATTGGACAGAAAAGACAGACGGTCGCCAAAAGTCACAAGCTGATAAAACTTCATATCCTATAACGTCTGTTAGTAGCTATACAGGATCCCAGGAATCTCCAAGTCGAAGACTGAGCGAAGTAAGTTCTCACGGATCTGCAACGACAGACGAGAACAGGTATTCAAGCAGCTCAGCGATTTCTCTAGAACCTGATTTTGAACATTCACTCAGAGAAAATTATGATGCTAAGAGCAAGGGAGGGATATTTAGAAGTGAAGAACGTCTGCCTTCAACACAAGGTAGGTTATCTGTTTACAAGCATCTCAAAATACCTCTGCATGCTCATCCTATCCTTGCATGCCAAGAACCCTACGGTTTGAAAGAAGATAAAAAATCTAAAGTTAATGAAGACAATTTAAAACTGAACAAGTATGTGGGGGAAGCTAATAACAACATGCAAATGTTAAACACCATCGAGCAGGATAGTAGGTTAACCCAGATACAACATGACTTTAAACCTTCTCTCAGAAACAAACATCTAAGTACAAAAAATAATATAACTATTTCCTCAACGTCGTGGGCATTGCAGAATAAAATAGATAGAAAAATAATAAATAAAAAATGTCCACATAAATATCAATCATCCCCTTCGTTACGCACAGAGTATACTTCCGTTTCTGACAGATTTGGTGGAAACATTGTTTCTGCAGACACTTCACCTATATTTTTGTCTCATAATGAGCTGTCTTCTGGCGAACAAGTAAATGCTTCATTTGATTTCCAAATTAATGGAGAAGAAACTGACGAATATTTTTTAATAATGTTTCGAGAGTCCTACAATGTATCGAGTGATTGCTGTTTTAATTATAGTAATGCACTAAAAAACGAAGAAGGAAATAAAAAAGAGCATTCTGCGTATTGTGAAAGTAAAACTAAACGTTGTGAAGTTCAGCCGAAGATGACATCTAGCGATGCCCTCAATAGCATTAATAATTATCCTTTACTACTTACAGGTCGGTTTAAAACAAAATATTATAACGAACATCAATGTAATCAATTACTTAATAACAAACAGCATGAATTTCTTGAGCATTTTGGAAAACGTAGTTGTAGTGACATGATAAACTCATTCACACCTGCACATATGCATGATGATTGCATGATGCACAAGAAACTCAAAAGAACGCATTCATTGCCTGACTCAGATTTTCCAGGTAGTTATTTCTGTAGATACTTATTTCCTGAAACCTCAAACTTTATTGTACAACATAGTTTCGGTAAACGAAAACGGTGTACGAATAAAAATTTGCATGATCTTGCGCAATATGGAAGTTGTAGTTTATTGGATGGCCAGGCAGAACTGGGCTTGCTTAACCACAGTAAATCTATATCTCTGGCTTCCATTCCAATGGCTCTTTGTGAAGAAACGGTGTTGAAACATGGATATGATAATACTCCGGAAAATCAGTCTATTAAAAATTGTAAATATTCACTTTATACTTATCAACTTGGTTTTAAGAACTCTGTTTCTGCAGGTGATCACGAAGCTAGAGCTCACCAAGCTTGTTATTTTTTCTCAGAGTCGGGGCAACAAAAAGAATCAGCGCCTTTGAAACTTCCAGATACGAAACACTTGCGTCGTTCCTTTCCAGAAACAGCCCATCAGACTACATCATCATTAGTTTTCTCCAAAAAGGACAGTACGTTATATGAACCACATCAACAACGAGGAACAATTACGTGTAATCGCCCAAAATGTACCAAGACCCTTCCCATGGAAGAAGCACGAGTCAAGTTTCGCATGTGTCCTAACTGTTATACTTATTACTGCAGTAGACATTGTCGTAAGCTTCACTGGGACCGTCATAAAAATCAGTGTCCTTATACAAAAATCAGCAACCTGTGTCAACAAGTATTGGTTAAAGTTCGACAAGACCCTATTTCTAGACGCAATCTGTCTGTGTGTGCAAGACGAGGGTATTTGTCCCGAGGACGAGGAGCTGTCAAATTAGTATTTTACAACACTGAAGACGCTTTAGACTTCATGTGTAAAGGCTGGAACTCTATTCGTGGCCAGAACTTTTATGTACCTCGAAATGATCTTATGCCTCAAGAGATGGGAGCGGATATGTACACTTATATCCGCAACCTGTGTGACCGCTACAATCCAGGAAAGAAGTTCGTTCTCTTGGCAGCTGTACGTGTAACTCAAGAGATATCGAGTGTGGCTGGTGCCTTAGTAGAGCGAGAAATAATAATACGAGGAACAAAGATGCGGCTAACCCCTCCCTTACCAGAAGATGATGTCCAAACGGTTATACTAACATTAGCTAAAAACCCTGGATCTGACGTAGCGGAACGACACCAGCAATGTTTGGCAATGGAAAACCATCTTCAAGAAAGAGGAATTAGCATTGCCACAGAATTTCCAGACATGTATGCAAAAATAAAAAAGTTCGTAAAAGGTGGTGAACCATTTGTCCCCTTAAGTGTGTTCCTCACTGATCGAAGAACAGCAAAGATGTTTATGTGTATAATTCTACCTTGGGCTGATGCTGAAATCATCCAGAATATTTCAGCCAAGGCAGCTGTTACGAAGTCCAAGCGACTTTGGATGCTCTAACTCTTAACTAATCCACCTTATCTTAAGTAATGTGTCAATGTCTATCAAAGTCTTCCTTTGTAGCTGTATTTATAATTCCAAGATTAACAACGGTGCATTCTAAGCAAATATAGGCATTGTTGTCTTAATATGCATGAATGTAAATAAAACTTCATATTTTATGTCAAATCTGCAAACTCTTACACGCGTAAAAAGCGTTTAGAAATGTATGCTCCAAATGTGCAGTTCTGAGTATTACGAACTCAACTTCAATTTCCAGTGAATTGATATTTGTTTGTATTTGTGTACATTTTTGGTAAAGATGAGTTTTAACCGTGCCATTTCATTGAATGCACATACTGATGTAACGTAAGCCTAAAATCAATGAAAATACTTAAAATTTAACTAGTGTTGGAATAAACAGACTTTGAAAACCTAACTTAATACTTTACATTTTTAATGGTTAAATTCTATTGTAAACTCTCAAAGATTTCATGATACGTATTTTCAGCTATTGACTTCCAACCATCACTTAGGAATAAACTTATTCCTAAACTAAAGTCGTATCTTATTACAAGACTTACATGTTATTTGAATTCAGTTGTTTACCAGATTCTTTAAGATATATTTTTCTGAAATTGGAACTTAGGATTTCTTCTAATTGGTTTAGTTGATATACGGCTAATGCATAACAAAATTTAAGTTGCCTGACTTTTGTACATCACGTATAATTTCTAGAATAAATCTTAATCCATAAATTTATGTTTGGACAAATATAGGACAAATTACCATTTTAAAATATTTATTAGCTATGAAATATTAAATAAGTTGTAAAACAATTAATCTTTGACTTGCAAACTCGCAAGAACAATTAAATCACTTAAAGCATTCAATTGTAAAAGAGTAATTATATTTTAAATTGATGCAATCCGGTCTTCATTGAGATTTAATATTAGCCGACAAACTGTTCAAATGTCATTAAATAATGATATTTACACCTTACACATAAGAGTATGCAAATTAATGAAATCTAGTCAAGTGTGTAAATTTTGTAATTGTAAATCGTGGTATGTGTACCGTAGGATAGATCGGGCAACAATAATTGAGCCTGAAGTTACATTTCAGTTATATTAAATATGTTATTTGGTAGTGGATCGGCGTCGAAAATGATAACTTTGAAAACTAGAAAACGTAGTTACATTAGAAGTTGAATATATGTATCAATGCCTTATTTGTATATTTAGTATTATATATATATATATATATATATATATATATATATAATAACAATAGTAGTAATAAATTAAATTTAAGTTTAGTTTACGTTTCGTTTACTTACCGTAACCTTACTTTACCTTAACTAAACGTTAAACGTT